GTCGTCCCCCCGCCTCCGCCTCCTCCTGCCTGCCCGCTGGAGCGGGCGCCCGGCCGTCTGTCGGTCTGTCCCCCCTGCCTCGGGGGTCCCGTCCCCGCTCCCGGCCCCTGTGTGTGTCCCAGCGGGAGACGGGCCTGGCTCCCCACCCCACCCCCGGAGCAGGGAGTGGGGACCTGGGAGCTGGCGAAGAGGGGAGTGGGCTGAGGGGAGATTGGCCCTGGGGCTGTTGGGAGAAGTTTCAGGGACTCCCTCCGCACCCCGGCGGTGTCACCACTTTCTCAGCCCCTCTCGCTACTGAAGCGCTTTTCTCTCTCACACTCCGGTTTTAACTCGGGCAGGGGCTGCAGAGGCTCCGCCCCCTGACACGTCCCCGAGCCACGTGATTCGCCGCCCTGCTATGCTATTGACTAGCTCCTAGCCTCTTATTAGCATATTAAAACAGCTCAGGGGCGGGGGCAGCTTCTAGGCCAGCTCCCGGAACAGTTATTGAGCAGGCGCGGAGGCGGGGCGTCAGGTGCGCGCGAGAGCGAGCTCCAGGGACAAGCGGGCGGGCCGGCAGACGCGGAGGCGGGCTCCGGGAAGGGGCGGGACNCCGCGTCGGCTCGCTCTGGGCGGCCGCGGCTGTGAGCCTGCGCGTATGGGTCGCCGGCCTCTCCTTGGCTATTGGAGGTGATAGGGGTCGGGGGAAGGGAAGTGAAGATCGGCTTTGGCTCACCCTCCGAGATCGCTGTACCGTGGACGAATGAGGGGGGTTGAGTGAAGTGAACAAACACTTGATTAGGAGAAGGGGATAAGACCGTAGTCGCCTTCCCGGGGAGAGCTCGGAGCCTGCGGTCGCCCTCTCGAGGAGGGCTCGGAACCCGCGCCCGCCGGAGATGGTTCTCGGGCCTCGGAAGGCCTGCCCTAGCGCGGGCGGGCCCCGGGCGGGGGAGGGGAAGTGAGAGGTTGTTTATGACCGGGGACTAATCTCCTCCGCGAGTCACACCGCTCCCTCTGGGGAGTGGGGATGAGGGGCGAGCGTCGCTCGGCCTCGGAGAGCGACCAAAGGCGAGGGCTGGACTCGCAGCAGGCTGAGAACCTTCTCGTCGAGGACCCACCGAAAAGGGAACAAACCCTCTCTTTCTTAACCCGACCCGGAGAAAACATAGATGGAGTCTCAAATATCAGTAAACTGTTTGTGGGCCTTTTTATTCGCGAGGAAACATAACTGGTCCTACCCAAAGAAATTCTTTTTCTCAAGCCCTGTTTACTTAGGGCTGTAGAATTTCAATTTCAGAGCTGAAAGGGTCCTTTAGCAGATCATAATCCATTACCCTCAATTTAAAATGAAAAAACTGACCTCAGCTTGTCCAGGGTACACAGAACGCGTTCCCCGTAACCCTACCAGTGCTTATTCCTATTACCATATGCTGCATCTCATCCTCGTTCCAAACGCTGTGCGAGGAAAGACATTCTCTGTTAAGCCCCTGTCGTCTTACCTAAACTAATTAATGTCCTGCACGTCTGAGGAAAACAGTTTCAAATACACTGAAAAACTGAAGACACTACCTTGAATACAAGTCGGCTAGAGACATACAGCCCTATTAACACTATGTAGATAGTTAAAAGGCCTCTCCATCTAGCCTTGCATTTCCGGACTTTATTCTTTACCCTCAAATTCTTATTTGCATACTGATCGTTTAAAGAGCGAGTTCCTATTAACGTTAACATTAGAAGAGAGAGGCTTTATGACACTTTTTTATAGTCTGAGTTTCATAACTTGGACTTTTCTTAATATTTAAGACAACCTCTGAAACTTTTTGTTAATTTATAGTAGGGCTGTTTCAGTAATATGCTGTTCTGTGGGTATAGACCATAGAACGGTTGTGGTATTTTTAAGATATTTGGACTGCAAAGTAAGTCGCTGAGGACCTACTGGGTACTAAGTAAAGTGGAGGTAAATGAATAAAATGTGCTCCCTGCCTTCAAAGAGCTTATAGTTTTCTAGGAAAGTATTACATACACATTATTAGCTGCTCCAAGGCAGAAAGTGATTAGATGCTAAATAATTCAGGGGGAAAAAAATGTATTACCTGGGGGTGATGAAAGAACATTTTCCAAGGTCAGTAGGTTTATCTGTGCCTTAGAATAGTGTTTCTGAACACTATTTTGTTGTTTAGGATTGTACATCTGAAAATAAAAATTAGAGTTCTATGACAATTTGCAAATTATTTTACCATTTGTAAAGATAAAATTTTTCTTTCAAAGTTGTCATTTGCATAATTTTCATAGTATCGGTCTTTACTTGTCTATATCAGTGGTTTGCCTTTTTTTTTTTTTTTTTGGTGGCTGGCCGGTTGCTTTTCAAACTGTGGTCTGTGGACCCCTGCTTGTCTGCAAATATATTTTCTAGGATCACAAGAATTTCGTTTTCTTTTTTTTTTTTTTCTTGCAGCTGGCCGGTAAGGGGATCCAAACCTTTGACCTTGTTGTTACAAGAATCATAAGAATTTCTTTCAGGAGTCTATACATTACTCAGGTTTGAGAAACACTGCTTTAAAGGACTGGTAGGATTTGGATATGGGTCAAGGAAGGGGAAGCTGCTGGTGAAAAAAGTGCTTTCAGACACTCAAAATGTGAAGAAAGGAAGTTAGGACAACATTGCTGATGGCTTCCTGGTAAATAATGAGTTTCAGCATAGCACCAGGCACATGAAGAATAGTATAAAATCCAGAAAGGTAAGTTAGGTCTAGACAGTAGAAGGCCTTTATTTCAAGCTAAGGAATTTTTTTCCCTATAAATTG